GCTTGCTCGTTAGCTTGTCTTCTGGGAGCTCTCTGCTGCAAAGAAAGAGGGGCTGTATTAGCAGGATCTGAACCAGACTGGCAAACCTCTTTCCTTTGGACTAATGAATGTTAAAATAGGGATATGTAGCTGCTCAGAAGAGGAAGTTATTAATTTTAGGTCCAGTGCCTGAATGTAGTGTGAGTCTTAATGGCAAGTACCTTTCCTAATTGCAGAAGAAAATGCTTACTGGAAGATCCGATGGGGTGATTGGAAAGAAGATGTATGAACAGCCTTAACTTGCCTCCCCTGGGAAGGTCAGAGTATCTCTGAGGTGAATAACAAACCCTTCCAGTATATTGTCAGCAAATACTTTCTTCCCTGAGACTGCAGAGAGAAGTGAACTCCAGCCATCACTGACTGTAATGGCTGCTCTTTACTTATTTTCGTCCTTATTTTTGAGTATTGGTTAATGTGCTTTTCATGTCCCTTTTGTGTTTACTTCAACAGCTAGTGTCTTTCTGACAGGGGATAAGATGTCTTAAGGGATAGGAATGGAGACGATTTACTGGCATTGCCAACTTTTCTGCCTTCCCATTTTTCTTTCAGATGTTTGCTGCTCTAACTACCCAGACAGATTGTAGGGAAGCCTGAACTGATACGGGCCAATAAAAGTAGCAAATAGACTGGCAAAGAGCTAGAGCAGTTCAGAGAGCAAGAGAGGTCTAATTCAGGATTCATGCTTAAATTATGCGATTTAAGCATGAAGATCAAGATTACGTCATAGGCTGACCCCATCATGATGGTCCGTTTGCTTTAACTGATCCTATCATGGAGTCGTTCTGTTTTTTGTTTGTTTGCTTGCTTTTGTGGAATATTATATTTTTAGCCCCCCAAACAAACAAACTTTTATTAATCCCCGCGTTTTCCATATTGCTTTTGGAATTCAGCAATAAGGATGAGAGATGTTGTGAAGGAAGGAAAACTTAGTGAACTGGGGAAAAGGACACTGGGTCCTAGAGTCACTGGGCCTGGCAGAAAATGTGTCTTGCACTGTACCAACCACAGCCTGAAGAAGGGATGTGTGCACATTGTGAAGGCAAAGATACTTCCTCTCTACAGGGGGATTAGGCTGTTGTTGGATACTATGGGAGGGCTTACGTGCACGTGTGTAAGGAGGACTATAACAAGCATTGCTATGGAGGTGAATCTCAAGAAAATATTTAGTATTGTCTTCTGCTGGATTCTGACCAGACAAGTTCATTATTAAAGCAGGAAGGGATAAATGTACGTCTCTCACTTGTGGCTGACGTGTATATTTGAAGAGCTGCATCATTTCAACATCATCTGAATACAAAAGTGTTATCCAGTGTAGAAGTTCGTTTCTCTAGAATAAGCAATTTTTTTTTCTAAGAAAATAGAAGTTATAATAGGGCCACTGGGAAACTGATAGCCCTTTCACTAGAAGAAAATCTTAGCAATAAGGATTGGACTGTTGTGGACTATGTTTCTAACTTCATCCATGGGGGATGTCTAATTCTTGTGGGGTACTGCAATATTTTCAGGAAAACTGAAATTGCTAGATTATTTTTTCAATTCCCATCATACTACTACAGATAGAGAAGAGAGACAACTCCAGTCCTTCAGTAAGTGTTTCCAAGAGCAGGGCAAAAACAGATACTGTTATGTTTGTATTTAATCTTTTGGGAATCTTAGACCTCATGTATCGTGAGATTCTTCCTCAAGTACAGTGTGCTACGTGCCTGCTCTAAAGGAGCTTTAGCGCACGTCAAAAGAACGAGCATTTCAGCCACCTTCAGTACACCCTGCCAGGAGACAACGGAGGAGACTTCCTATCCCAATTGCTTGAACTCCAAAGAAAAGGTTACCTGCAGCATCCAGCCCATTGTCCCAATTTCTCCATCCAGAACCACTCCAAAACTTTATAGTTTTAGTATTTCTGTCTTCACAGGTTTTCTGAAGGGAGCTATTGGAATTGCGTCTCACAGACTCCCCAGAGTAGAGTGTATAGCTTTACCCATCGCAAGCGTGACCTATCAGAGCATCCGCTTGTGGTGCTCTGGCAGGGGATGGTAAGCAATCCAAAGGGGGTGTTTCATTCCAAAGGGAATGTTTCATTCCAAAGCTGCCCAGTGTTACTACCATGAGGTTTCACCATATCGCTTCTGTTGAATTTGCTCGGAGGATGACAGTTAGGTGACAATCTGACACAGCTCCGTAACTTTACTTAAGAGTATCCTGCTGGTAGAATTACTTGTACTGAAGAGTTCTCTTAAAAACAAAGTCCCCCAAAACCCTTCACTGCATCAAATATTTGGAAAATAGTCATTTTCATTTAAACCTGTTAAATTTTAATATTTGCTTTTGAGGTGACTTATAATAGGATAGGAACATGCAAGCCCACTTTTAAAAATATCACATGTATGTTAATGTATAGAAATGATAAGAATGGGTCACTGAGGCTGAGATTGGACTTATGTTTATGTCTGCCAGAGATAGTGGGAACTTGAGTAAATCAACGAACTGAATTAATTTCATTTGATTAAATAGAACAGAATTTCTGTGTCTGAGTGGTGTTTTTCCCAAGCCACTGGGATTTAAAGCTGTTTTTCTTTGCTAGAAAAATATGTTGGAAATTTTGTTCATAGATTTATTATGTAATAAATTAATTAAGAGGTACTATCAAGGGATTTTTACTTGATTCTCATTAAGAAGATCAAAACACTTTTTCAGACGCTGACTTGGGTTCTAAGTGTAAAAAATGTTCCTTCTGGTTACAGAGACATGATTTTGCAAACTAATGGAACCAGGATTTTATTTCTGATACATATTCACTGCATTTGATGAGGACAAAACAATTTGATTTAAATAGTCCAAACTCCTTCTGCAGTTAGGAGTACAACTCTACCGATAGTTTTTTTTTTTCAATATTATTCTCATATTTATGTAGCTATTTCTTTTTCAGAAATGTCACTGAAAGTTCATTTCAGAGAGCATTTTATTTCTTATGAAATAAAAGATTATGAAGATTCTTATCTTATGAAGATTCTTAAAAGATTCTTATGAAATAAAGTTTTTAGTTCATCTGTGTCATTTGATTGTTTGTTTATTTATTAACTTACTGGGTTTTCTATTTACTCTTTGTTTGTGTTCTCTGGAAACTCCCACAGACCGACATAGTTCTGTGGCCCTGTTGGGGACATTTGAAGCCTAAGAAAAAGAAAATTGCAAATCAACAGAACTTCAAGTAATTAAAATACAGGATGTAAAGTGGGTGTTAAAAAGGAGAATAAAATAGAGAAAATGAGTGGTAGGCAATATGATAGTCCCTTTGCAGGCTAGTTTGGTGAAGATGTTCTGTATCTAAGAAACATAGAGAAGAAAGCACAGAGGTGGGATAGGTGATGGAGTCTGTTGCCGCTACAGCAATCGCAAGGAATAGTTGGTATGTAAAATAAGAGGGAATGGTGCAGAAGGGCAAAATACTTTTGGGAGCTGTGCCATGGGTATCACAGCGTAAAGCTGCGAGCCTGCCGGGTACACGGAGCTCTTGCACCCCTTGAAGCGGGTGCTGCCCTTCTCTGCCCGTGCTGATCCCCTGCAGAGCGTTGCCTGCTGTGAGCAGGGCCGGCAGCCTTTGGCCTCGTGTGCCTAGAGTCTCTGGAGAAGCCCTTGAGATGGGGCTGAGGATTTTCGGTGGCCATCCTGAGAGCAGCTCTGTGTCGGTGCGCACTGCTCTGGGTGAATAACCGGCTCCGGTACCGGGCCTTAAGGAGAGCACCTGAAAATGGAGGCACCGAAAACCACAAGAGGTTTTCAGATGCAGTTTTGCATGTAAGAAAACAGAAGCAGAATTTTCCAATCAAAACAAAGATAATGCTTGATGCCCTTTTTTAAAATTTTTTTTGGGGGTTGATTTTGATGTTGATTAAAAATATTTTCCATATTTGAAAAATAAAATCCAAGTGAGTGTGACAAGAGCATGTCACATATTTAAATGGGCAGCTATGGTGACCATCAGCTGTGCATTCCTGAGTCATGCAGGTGATACTGGCTTCTGAAAAACACACATCTTCACATGGCTTGGTACATTCGGCCAGGTAGATTTTTTCATACGTGTAGGCTGGTATTTGGTGGTAGATAATGGAAATGTTAAATTGTTACTATTGAGAGGGGAAAAAAAATAAAAGGAAAACACTGAAAGTTTTCTGTCTTTAAATAGTCCTATAACCAACAACAGCATGACAATAACATGGCGTGACTGAGTGGCAAAACACTATTAACTAAGTTTTTCTGTGGGAAAAGGTGGAAGAAAAATTCTAAGGACTTTTGAATTATTTTTCTACTTGTGTATGCAAATATTTACATTATGGGAAACTGACTACAGTCAATGCTTGTGCACTAGGGTTCTACTTCTCTGAATTCTCTAAAACTAAATCTGGAGAATTGGTATGTAAGGCCTTCTGGATTTGGTTTGAAGATTATTTTATTTGCAGGCAAGAAGAGGCAAATACTGTTTTTCTTTGTATTCCTACACCATTTGGTTTTAGTTAGATTCCATTAGCTTTAAAGCACGAAGCACTTAGAATTCTTTCTTTGAATCCGGTATTATTATCTTTTTACCCCAAAGAAGGAAATTGCTCTAGCTGCAAGCTAGAGTTCATCTTATCCAAAATAGACACGTGCAAACCAGGTGTCTGGTCTGAGCCACCCATTTCAAGCTGTCTTCATAGGGAGCAAAGAAAGAAGGGCAGTTCTGGAGCCTCCTAGCTCAGAAGTCTGTGTTGGGATGCAAGGAATCACAGACTGCAAATACGTATCTCCATCCAGCGTAGAGAGGATCAGAACAGCTATGTTAGACTACATAACAAACTCATTAATGGCCAAAGATTTGGGGTGCCATTTCCATGGATTGGCAATATAATTAAAAAGAAAAGAGTGTTTGAGAGGACATGTTGTGATAGTAGAGAGCATTTACATTTTTTAATTTTCTATTTCAGGGTGGAGAACACTGCTATTATCAGGGACAAATTCGAGGAAATCCTGTATCATTTGTTGCCTTGTCAACATGCCATGGACTTCAGTAAGTCTGCTATTTAGTTTTTATGGTGCTTTTCTTAGTCTTTTAAACAAAATGAAACTGTTTATAGTAAAATAAGTACTATTTGCTTTCTTATTAGGTTGCAACCACTATTAAATATCTCAACAGTCTTTTCAAAGCGTGGCTTTAATTTGAACCTTGTAAAATCCTTGCTATAAAAACAACCAAGCACACAAGACAGTGACTGCAAGGCAGACGTCATTTAAAAAAAAAAAAGATATAGAGTAGCAAGGGTAAAAGTATTCCAAAACATCCTGTTCTACAAAAGTAAAAAGATACTGCGATAAAAAATATGACATATGAAATTTGAACCATTCGAAAGTTCTCCATATCCTCTTTTTTTTGTCACTACAATGACAAACTTTTTCTTTTCTATTCTACTGTATTTACAAAGCAGATTTTGTCTAGTCCTGTCCATTTTCTTCACAGAATTGCTCATCTTAACCTGTGTGTATGGGATAATACTTTTGATATATTAAAGTCTTGGAAATATGGAAGAAAGCATAGTCAAGTATACTATTTTAGTGATAAAATAGTTAAAACTGCTGTCATCTGAAGGTTGCTGGGAGCTGTATGTGGACAGTATGGCTTCTGGCACTCTCTGCTTTTGGCATCATTAAGAGAAGGCTATTCAGGTTTTCAGAGCAGCCAGCTAACTTCAGTTGGCTGTGGGAATTAGAAGATCTCAGCACTTTTGATGCTGAGGCCATCCTTCACTTGAAGGTCATGTGGAATGGCAGCAAGTGAGCCTGAATTTGGAGATTTCCAGGGCTTTGCTTTTTTTTCTGGTGAAACAGGGCTTAGCCAATGGCACCTTCTTTAGCTTGTTACTTTCTGTCTCCAGATATTCTACAGGTTTGGTATCAGCCGTATAAACACACGTATTTAAGCAATTTCTGTCATATATCTGTATTGATATCTGTATATTCTTTGTTGGGAAGAGGGAGAGTGTGTGCAGAAGACCTGTCGTTCTTGCGCTCATCGTCCGCCCTGGAGATGCATTTCTCGCTTTTGTATGCAAGGTTGAGCAGCTCCAGAAACCTGAGCTCAGGTTCTGTATGGCCAGGCAGCCTAAAAATAGTAGCATCCTAATGCATCCAAGGGGGGTTAACTGCATGATTCCATTAGCAGCCATCCATTAGGTCTTGGCTTGCAATCCCTTAGGCCCTGCTCAAACTCCTAGGAGAAAATGCAGGAAGGGAAGAAGGGGCTGCCTATGTCCTTTCCTGGCCTCCTTTTGGTGCTTCTTGACACTGAAGCTTATGTTGCTTTGTGTCCTTAAGTTGACTTCTATTCAAATTTGTCCCCTCCAACATAGTTATATGATGAGAAATGCAGATGTGTATCCTGTATAATTAGGCTCCTCTTTGACTCTGAGAGGTATCTTCCCCCACCGCCCCCCCCATTTTTTTGAGGCAATAAAATTCCATCAGAATTGTCCTTCATATAAGAAAATACAGACCAGTTGTTTTTAACAGAATAAAAAGCTTCATGTTCTCAAAGCTAATCTCCTCTCTTACTTACTAGAACTAGAACTTGGCCAGATGTGAGAGATGAATTTTTGCTAAAGGTCTCCTCAAGATAATACTGTATTTGTTTAGCTAATTGTAAGTTGAGAGTGGTTATATCTGTGTTGTGGTCTTCCTTTTATAAGTTAATAAGGTGCCCAGGTGACACTGGTCTTACAATTACAAATTTCTTCTCATCTTAATAACCTCTCTAATGAAAAATGTATCACTGTAGCTCAATCCCTATGCTATCCAGTGTTATTTTCTGTGGTATATACACTACCCCCAGTTTCCCATGGATTAATGCAAAAAACGTTAAAAGCAAAACACGCCAGTTGTTGGGATATACATATGTTCTAGTCAGGTGTGACTGAAAATTCTGAGTTTCAAAGCCTGTCATGCAGACACCAGGTAAATATTCATGTATGATTTGGCTGCCCACTGGTGGTGAATATTAAAACTGCTGTTCCAGCTACAAATTAGAATTTCATTACTGCAAAGTCTTGAAGACTGTATAGTCAAAATTGAGGTTTTTAAATGGCTTATATTTTACTATTGCTTTCTCTCATCTCACTGCCATGAAGATGCGGTTCATTCACAGCAGACCGAAGTCACTTGGCAGGTGGGCAAGCCAGATGCATAGGGGGTTGTGACTATTATATTTATTCCCACGGAGTGACTTGACGCGAGGTCAGCGCTGCCGGGCGAAGCGCTGGTGCAGGAGGCCCCTCGCTGACGGCGCTCTGTCCCGCAGGCCGCCCTTGGGCGGGAGCCAAGGAGGCCTTGCTGGATGAAGAGCTGCAGGATGCCCCCAAATCTCATTTTATTCCTCATCAGAGAAACACAGCAGGTGCTAGAGTATTTATTTTGAGCAGTGTGGACTTCGTTTCTAGAGAATAGGCGTGGGTGGTTTGGAAGGTAAAACAGCTCTAATTTCTAGATGTACGTTAAAGACATATAGTGACATTATTTGATATATATCAAATGTGCTCAGTACCCAAATCTGCTTCTGTGAAACCTGCGTGATTGACCCTGTGAATGCAGAGTATTAAGAGAAATATTCCTATGAGAATCTGTAATGTTTTGCAAACTTAGTAATTTTAGTAGTTAAGAATAGGAATTAATATTTTATTTTATAGAATATATTCTGTATTCTGGGAAGGAACATGCTATTTTTAACTACTAATTTTGGACAGAATGACAGTATTTTACTTATTGAACCTAGTTCTGTGCATAACCAAAACTGCTTTTGATGATTTAAAGAAAAAAAAATGCAAAAAACTTGTTTATTGTTGAAAATTCTGGCAGTTTTTTAATGCTGTAAAGTTTTTAAAACAGTAAATAAATAATATTGCCTTTTTGCTGCTATTGTGAATATGTGCCAAAATTGAACGTATGGCTTATATTTATGGCCAAGCTTAAAACCCTTAGTAGTGACAGTTTACAAGGGACGTGCTACTACAAGCTAATCTCAACCATGCATGTCACTGTAGTAAAAAAAACCTGCTGATTTGGTTGTCTATCTAAAGGATGGTGATATAAGACATGCCCTTTTGTTTTATGCTCTTGAAAAACAATATCTGCATGAACTTTTTTTCTTTTTAAGTATAAGACCCATACTCATGAGTCCTGCATTACACTAAGGACCAAACCTCACTAAAATTCCATTAAGGTTTCCTGGAACAGAAAACATCACTGCAGGAGAGGACCTCATCTTTGCTGTGTGTTTAAATGGTAATATATACCCTCTCTCAGGTTTCCTTCCTCCATTTAGCGTGTCTTAGCGCTTCACTTAGTTCAATTCTAAATGAAGAACAATATGTTGGATTTTGACATGGACAATTGGTGGTTGCATAGGTGCTGCCAGAGTGGCAGATTTTGCAGTATACATAGCAGTGTCCATAGCATGGATGCTTCCATGGCTTCAGCTTTCTGTGGTTGGGAAGTTTTTATGCCGTTAAGAACCACGGAGTTCTGCACCGTGGCAGAAGGGATGATCCTCAGTATCAACATTTGCACCAAATTCCACTGGAAGCCAAACACCACTGATAGGGGGCTTCATCTCCTTACCATGAGTTGTCCTGCAATGTCCTTGTTGATATAATACTGCATATAGCCATTAAAAGCAAAGATCATCTAACTGTTATTATTGGCCAATTATTCTGGTCTGTGTTTGTTGTAGGAGTGTTTTGGAGAAGAAAGGAGTGTTTATCTGCAGTGGAGAGTCTGTCTTTCCAAAAACAAAAAAGAATCATAGTCACTTCCTGAAACAATTTTAACTTTCCAAAATACTTGAATTTTTAAAAATGTGTACTTAACTAAACATCCTTTGGTGTTCTATTAATGTTTGTTTGTTAAACCAGTATTTGCATTTCCTGCTCTTAACAGTGGGATGTTCTATGATGGAAATCATACTTACCTTATTGAGCCAGACGAAAACTACACTTCAGATGTAAGTAGAATTGCTAACAGTCCTGCTTGTTGTTTTTTGAATACAGACATTTATAGGTATAGACTAGGCATAAGGAACTGTGACCAAAGAGTTATCCCCTCATTTCCAAGTCAGTTTCTTAGTATTTCAGTGCCCATCCTCACATGTGTATTCCAGGAAAGCAGGGACAGAATCACAGTAGTAGTCCTCCAGAAGTTAAGTGATAGCGTGTGTATCTGTGTATACTTCCTAACAATTTGATGCAGAACAGCACTAAGGACAGTAGGGTCTCCTCAGGCCTGCAGAAAAAAACTGTGATTGCCTTGAATCCTTTTCTCCCACTTTGCCAGACCAGTTTTGTTCCACACCACTCCTACTGCTTCAGTGCCCTCAGGTGCTCCCTTAAGTTCATCCTCTGAGCTCTAGGGATGCTGAATTGACTCCATTTGGTGTACTCACATGTGTCAAGTAAGATATTATTACTGTCATTAGTGATTTCATCAAAACTGAGAAAAGGAGAAAAATCTACAAAAATGATGCCTTGCAGCTTGCAATTTCCCTAATGTAGTTGTCTGATGTCAGGGGACCCTTTTGGAACTGCCTGCCTAATTCTCATGGGATGGATTCATTTAATACATGCAACTGTTTACTATTTCAGGATGACTTCCATTTCCACTCTGTTTACAAATCCAAGTTGTTTGAATTTCCTTTGGATGACCTGCCATCTGGTATGATTTTTTAAATATTCCTGACTATTGTATTAATCTAAGGCTAGGTTTGTTGATCATATTTGATTGTTAATCTTCTTGACAATGTATTGCGTATTCATGTAGTGCTTTTTTCTTAATAAAAAGTGCAAAAAAAAAGTCAATCTGAAACCCTGAAAGCACTGGGGGGGAGGGGGGGGGGCGGGAAGGAAGCGTTGAATCAGACCTCACCTGTACGTTGTGACATATATTTGTTTGAACAAGTCTTGTGGTCTGTGATGTATAATTAGATATAGAAAAGCAAGGCAGAGAAAGCCTGAAGATGATGTTGCAAAAACCCCATGTTGCCAATAGTTGATAACTCTTCATGAGTTCTTCTCATTTTGAGGTCCAAGGTGAGTATGGTGGTGTGAGTTTGAGTCTAGGGGATGGAAACTTGCCAAATAGTGTTTTGTGCCTCTCTTCTTCAGCCTGCTTGTCACGTGTGGGCTGTAGCACAGATCATGCATTTGGCAGTGGTGTTAAGCACAGAGTGATGAATGCCCACAAGCATACTGCTTTACATACCTTGTGTCTGGATGGATAAGAGGTTTTTAAAATCATGAGTTTCATCTATGAGAAGCTGGCTTACTAACTGAAGCTAAAATTATGCTATTTGTGGCATACTCCCATTCTGTCAAGGATTTGTCAGTTTTACAGATGCATTTTCCAACTCTACACAGTATATTCTAGATAAATGAAGCTGTCCTTCATGGCAGCTGTTATTTGGGAAGAAACTTCTATAGACTGAAGGAGAATTGCAGACATTGAGTGTTTGCATTACAAAATATTTGTCCTGTGATAGCACTTACTGTGCTGGGCACTGCATGTAGATTGGTCCTGCCCAGGAGAACAGTGCATGGGATTGTTAGCTTTTAAGCAGAGCAGAGTAGTTTGGAAAGCTAATGTGGGAAAACACAGGAAATAGCTACATTTGGGCCACCTTGATTTTAGTTCTGGAGAAGCAGTATTTCTGCGTCTAAACAGAGCAATATCCAAGTTTGGTGTCTCACATCTACTCACGATTACCCAGGCAAGGCTGAAGAGGCAGGACCAAAGGCCTGTGTGGTGGGTGATGATCTCGTTAGGAACCTCTCCAGGTTTGTAGAGCTGTAGCTCCAGGGTTGAGAGAATTAAGCACTGCATTTTCTTTACCACGATTTTTTTTTTTGCCTCTGTGCTCACATGAGCAATGTTGTTTCCTCTCTGCTGCTACCACATCTTCCCTCTGTAGCACCTGGGACTGCTGGTGAGGCTCCTCTTCACCTTGCTGAGTTAGGGCTTTGCTTTCTGTTTGCATAGGAAAATGCAGCATCCTCAGAGGACTACAGTCTTTACTTCAACTTTTCTGAACTTGAACTTTTCCATATTTACAACTCATATTATCATTGTGTTTGATTTTTTGTTAAATACAGCCAAAGGATCTTTATTGTTATTAGCAAGCACTGTGCTAGGCTATGTCATCAGTATTGACCATATTCTTTATTACTCTCCTAATTTAACAATTAGGCTCCAGCCTAAGGGGCTCCACCTTGATGTCAGAATTGCTTTCTCATCTTTAAAAGAGGCTGTGCATAGGCTGAGATCTCCACTAAGCACTTCATTATGGGCTAGATGAGCTTCAGTGGAGCTTCATGCTGATGCTAGAAAGGCCAAAATCAAGTAATAGGGATTACTTGACATCAGTAAGATTGAAGGCAGACATTGTTATATCAACAGTTATATCAACTTTTATATTGCTGTTGTAGAAGAGAATAAATTGTTCTGTACTTTGCAATTGCCTATGGAGGTAATGAGGAGTTTAAATAAGGAGCGCTTGGATGGATAACCTGGCGCATACCTAGAGACTTTCACCTCATAATTTAGTAGATTATATTTTTTCCTCACAATCTGTATGGAGCTATATAGTTCCCTGTCATGGCTTTGACAACAGTGTATTATCAACTATCAACAGTATATTATCAGCTATGACAACAGTATATGTACAGAATGTGTTTTTTTTCAAATAATGCATAATAGATGTCCTTTTCTTTTAGGGTCACTTGAATCCTCATTACACTTTTTTAGAGGTCATATATTCCTGTCAAAATTGCAGCTAGGTTTTCTCAGCTATCTGTATTTCCTTTGTGATTTTGCTGGTCTTGTTCTTTTGCCTGAGGGTCCCTGGCTGGAAATGCACCCTGAGTGAATTCATTCAGCTTTGGAATTATAGTGCAGTGTTAACGTGTGATATCATGTTAATGTCAATTTTCATTCCCCTCCAGAGGTGCCTGATTTGTGAGAGTAGGGAGAACGTTTGCATTTTTTTGTAAAGTTATTTCAGATCCTATACACAGAATCACAGCATGGTGAGGTTGGAAGGGGCCTCTAGAGATCATCTAGATCCAGCAGGGACACCCAGAGCACGGGGCATAGGGTGGCATCCAGGCAGGTTTGGAAGATCTCCAGAGAAGGAGACTCCACAGCCTCTCTGGGCAGCCTGTTCCAGGGCTCTGTCACTCTCACGGTAAAGAAGTTCTTCCTCACGTGGAGATGGAACTTCCTGTGTTTTAATTTGTACCCATTGCCCCTTGTCCTGTCAATGGCCACCACCAAGAAGAGTTTGCCCCATTCTCTTTACATTCTCCTCTCAGATATTTGTACATATTGGTAAGATCCCCTCTCAATCTTCTCAGGACAAAACAGGCCCAGCTTGCTTAGTCTTTCCTCATAAGATAGATGCTCCAGTCCCTTAATAGTCTTTGTTGCTCCATGCTGGACCTATATAAATGTAAAATACTATTTTATTGATTAAAAGCTGTATTCTTACCACTTTTTAAAAATATATAGGTATAAAGATATAAAACTAAATCAAAAGTTTGAGAGTCAGATGTGTAGCACTAGCACACGGTCTAAATTAGTCAATGTGCATAAAGCATAAATAAGAACAAACATTTGAGAAAAAATTGAAGTAGTTTTCCTTCATTGTGAGCTCTAGAGAATGAACTTTTGCAGACCTTTATGCAATAAATAGGGGCCCTGGTTTTGATTTAGTTTATGTATTTTTTTTTAATAAAGAAAATCCTCAAATGCACTGGTATAACTGGTCTCAGATGGCTCTTCATGGGTGTGAAGCACCATGAAAATACTTTTAAGCTGCTTTTAAGCAGTCTCTATAGGAAGATGTTTGTGAACTTTACATATCAAATTGGCAGTAAGGCTTAGCCAGTAGAATACCAATTACCCATGCTTTGCTTTCATGGTTTGTTTTATAAATAACTACCCACTCTTGGTTAAGAATACAGTTTCATTTTGTGTCAGATAGGCAGTTCAACGTAATGGTTTGGTCTTTTCTGGTAGGGCAGGCCTGTCAAGATCATAGTGTTGGTTTTAATCTCGCTTTTTGAACCTCATGCAGAAACTCATGGTGAGAGGTGTAGCTCTAAGAAACCTTCTGTAGTCACCAGTAAACTGAACTATTTAGCATTTTATAATACAACCCAAATTTATGAGTCAAGATATGTGAATTGGAAGTTCCTCACTTTACACAGCTCCTGTAGTGCTGTTTACTTCTCCCCAGGATTGAAATCGCTCTGCAATCTGGAAAGCAGCTTTTAACCCACCGAAACTGAAAGGATATCCAAAGTTGGAGCTAGTACAAAAGAGGGAAACTAAACAAGGAAAAGACGTGCTATAAAATAAGCAAACATTTAATTTTTGCTTCTCAAGAAAAAAAAATCTTCATTGATTTTCATAATAAAAATGTTTATGCAGGATAAGGACAGAGATTTCTCTTGTGTAGAGAAAATCAAGGTAAAGAATAGGCATCTAAAATACATCATGGAAAAGTACACATGGACGCTTAAAAGAGTGAGAACAAGTGTTGTCTTCTGCTTTGCTTTTGTGTGCCCTTCTATGAGTGGCTAGTAATACATTTGGCAGGAGAGATTTGGCAAAAGAATAAACTACTTGGTGCTTGTGCTTAGAGGTTTAACAAGTTAAAGACACAGAGGGATTATCAGGGAAGAATATTGTATTGACTGTGAGCATTGCCAAAATCCCATAAGGTTTCTCCCAACTCTAACATGTTTTACTTTGTGAATATAATCGTCTTAAAGCATTAATTCTGCCTTCTGTTGCTCTTATTAATTTAGGTAGCTATTGCAAGAGCTCTGTGAATGTCTGCTGAATTCCAGAAAATGTGATTCATTGCGCGGGAACACTGTGCTAATAATATTTCACTCACAGGATTGGTGAAGTTTTGGCTTAGAACTTCTCCTGTGCTTTTTGAAGCGTGACACCCCCAGGTCATCTGATTAGCAGACCTAGGTGACCTAGCAGACCTAGTAGTGTTTTCAATTAGAGCAGTGTCCCTGAGAAGCAGCTGTAGCATTGCCTCCTGTCTAGTGGGAAACTTGTAAAGAGGAGTTCTTACCATATCTGATTCATGGAAGGATGTGCTACATCGGGGTCAGTAATTGTTGAGCTGTAATTTTGCAAACAGTCAATGTGTTTGCCTGTGTTTTCTGCTTAGAATTCTGGGAAATGAATACTACGTCAGAGAACTTTGTTGTAAAGCCAAGACACAAAAGAAGTAAAAGGCAGGTAGGTGTCAAGATGCTGACTTATAAATAACATGCCATTATGTGTGTTTGTTTTGTGTCCCCTGAATTAATTCTTGACTGATGGGAATCCTGCTGATGCTTCTGGTTGGGCATGAGTTCTCTCTATACCAATACAGCGATTACAAAAATGGGGATTGAATGTTAGAGAGATACACTTATGTATTCATAGAATCACAGAATGCTTAAGGTTGGAAGGGACCTCTAGAGGTCATCTAGTCCAACCCCCCTGCACACGCAGGGTCACCTAGAGCACGTGGCACAGGACTGCATCCAAGCGGGTTTTGAAGATCTCCAGAGAAGGAGACTCCACAACCTCTCTGGGCAGCCTGTTCCAGTGCTCTGTCACCCTCACTGTTAAGAAATTTTTCCTTAAGTTCCTATGAGATTTTTGATGTTTCAGTTTCCGGCCATTCCCTCTAGTCCTATCAGTGGCCACCACTGAAAAGAGACCAGCACCATCCTCTGCACTCCCTCCCTTGAGGTACTTATAGACACTGATTAGATCCCCTCTCAGCCTTCCCTTCTCCAGGCTGAACAGGCCCAGCCCCCTCAGCCTCTCCTCATAGGGCAGATGTTCCAGGCCCCTGATCATCCTTGTAGCCCTGCGCTGGACTCTCTCCAGCAGCTCCACATCCCTCTTGTACTGTGGAGCCAAGAACTGACGCTCTTCTTAACGCACCCCAGGATCCCATTGGCTTTCTTGGCCACGAGGGCACCCTGCTGCCTCATGGTCACCTTGTCGTCCACCATGACACCCAGGTCCCTCTCTGCAGAGCTGATATATTCAGAGATACATGGTGTGTGAATATTTATAATGTTGGATTCTCCTACATATTACTTACCTTATGAATTAAGCTCCCCATAAGTGATGAGGCCTAGTAAAAATATCAGTTATCAGTTTCAAGAGAATTACTGGCTACCCCAAGAGGACATCTTCCCAAGATCAGCCCCCTCGTCTTTGTTTTTATAAAACCACATTTCAGTTCCTTTCCTAAGCTCCATAGCAGTAGTCTTCTGCTACTAAATCTCTAAATTAGTGTTTTTATCAATCTGATAAAATTATCTACATTGCTAAACTGCATATGAAAAAAGAGCAAAAATGTTTTCTGTCAGCTTTAGTATAGAGTTGTATCACATAATCCCAATTAGAGAAACATCTACATTTTTATGTTGCAGTGCTGATTAGTAGCATCACTTGTCTTTGATTTAAATAAATATTATAAACTGAGAGTTCAGCTTCCATTGAAGAAGGCATTAACTGCAGGCTTTTCTCTTTACACTGGAAACAAGAGCAAAAGTTCTCTATGTTTTAGGACTAGAGCTCAGATGATGTTACAGGTCAAAACAAGGCCAGTTCAAGGGTGCTGAACAGTGTAGGAGAGCAGGAAATACTGAGAGCGTTTGGAGACGGAGGTGCCTTTTACATCCGTAACTAATGTTGGAAGCATCTTGGAGGCAAAAGAGGAGTGAAAATTACATTAGAGAAATTCCAGAAATCATATTTGAGGCTCTGCCAGGTGGTTTATAAACCAGCCATTACTCTGGATTGTCAAAATATAACGATGTTGTAACTGTCCTGGAAAAGCCAGGAAAACAGGGTTCTCATGGAGAAGCACAGTCGTAAACTAGAAGTAAATGCAGCGCTGAGTACTAGGTGCAGTGGATTATGTGGATTATGCAGAATGTGAATAAATAATACAATTGTTGAAAGATCTTTTAGTTAAAAAAAAAAAAAGTCAGTGTGATCCCCCTTTCCCTGTAAATGGATGCCCATTTTTTCTGCCTTCTTGTCCAGATGAATTTTGACATCCTGTTGCCTTTTTAAGGTATATTTAAGATTTTTTTTGAATGATGTAACTAAGCACCAGAAGTAGTATCAAAGAACAGAAGTAAGAATAAAAAGAGAATTTTTTTTCTGAAGATATCACTTTACTTGTAGGTTCGTCAGATTCCACGTAAAGTTGAAGAGGAAACAAAATATATTGAATTAATGATTGTAAATGACCATCTAATGGTAAGACTGGCTAACTTTGATACCTTACATCTGCCAGTAACATAGTGTCTGTCTTAGTTTGCTCTGTCTTAGTTTGCCTGTAAAGCATGGACAATAAAGAACAGCATCTGGGTAGAATAAATGCAGGAAGTTGCTAAAACAACAGGTTTTGGGGGTCGCATTGAAGTTGCAGTAAGATAATTCTACTGAAAATGAATCCAGGCCTGAGTATCAGAGCGTAGGCTTGTAAACTAGGACTCAGTGTCACACAGGGAAAAACTATGAGTGTGACTTTTAAGCTGATGGTTTTTCTTTCTTTCCAGAGCACTTTTCTTAGTTCTAGTAGCTCAGCAAACAAGAATGTAATTGTACTGCTTTGATGATAATGCAGAGATAACAGTGACACTGCATAATTATTATTTTTTTTCTAAATGCCCAAGTAAATATAGATAAAATTATTTTTTAGGCTTATATTTTTTCAGGGAGAAAACACACAAGCCAAGTAATGCGGTGGAAAGGACACGCAGGCAGCAGAGTGCCCTGTTGAGGGGGCCCCAGAGTCTCTGCCCTGGCTGCCCCGGCAGGCCCCCGCCCTGGGC